TTGCTGTGAGCTAGGCTGATGCCACGGCACTCACTCTACGCTGGGCAACAAAGCAGACTCCTGTCTCAAAAAAAAAAAAAAAAAAAATTACCTGGTATGGTGGCACGCGCAAGTAGTGCCAGCTACTCGGAAGGCTGAGGCAGGAGAATTCTTGAGCCTAGGATTTGAGGTTGTAGTCAGCTGTGAATGCTACTAGACTCTAGCTCGGGCACAGAAGCAAATTCTATCCCCCTCCCACCCCCAAAATGAGAGGAGATTAGTGTTTCAAAAAAACCATGAAGGATTATAGTGGTGATGAAACTATTTCTGCCTTGACTATGGTGGTGCTTACACAAACTTAATGTAATAAATTGTATAGAACAATATACACAAACACACATAAGTAAATAAAAGGTAAAACAGGGAGGGCCTGGGCGCGGTGGCTCACGCCTGTAATCCTAGCTCTCTGGGAGGCCGAGCGGGCGGATTGCTCAGGTGGGAGTTCGAAACCAGCCTGAGCAAGAGCGAGACCCGTCTCTTACTATAAATAGAAAGAAATTAATTGGCCAACTAATATATATAAAAAATTAGCCGGGCATGGTTGGCATGCCCTGTAGTCCCAGCTTACTGGGAGGCTGAGCAGGAGGATCGCTGAGCCCAGGAGTTTGAGGTTGCTTGTGAGCTAGGCTGACACCACGGCACTCACTCTAGCCTGGCAAGAAAGGAGACTCTGTCTCAAAAAAAAAAAAAAAAAAAAAAAAAAGTAAAACAGGGGAAACAGAACAATGATTGTAGATTGTATCAATGCAATATACTGTACTATACTTTTGAAAGATGTTATTGGGGAAACTGGGCAAAGAGGACATGTAATCTCTCTGTATTATTTCTTACAATATATGTGAATCAATAATCATCTAAAAATTAAAAGTTTAATAAACAAAACAGAGGAGGAGACTTTTCATCTACGGTTATGAAAAGCTACAAAGACACAGAATAAATAGCAAAGAACAGAATTACTATTTTTTTTTTTTTTGAGACAGAGTCTCACTTTGTTGCCCAGGCTAGAGTGAGTGCCGTAGTGTCAGCCTAGCTCACAGCAACCTCAAACTCTGGACTCAAGCGATCCCACTGCCTCAGCCTCCTGAGTTGCTGAAATACAGGCATGCGCCACCATGCCCGGCTAATTTTTTCTATATATATTAGTTGGCCAATTATTTCTTTTATTTATAGTAGAGACGGGTCTCGCTCTTGCTCAGGCTGGTTTCGAACTCCCTGACCTCGAGTAATCCTTCCGCCTCGGCCTCCAGAGTGCTAGGATTACAGGCGTGAGCCACCGTGCAGGCCAGAAATTCTATTTTTTTTTTTTTGAGACAGAGTCTCACTTTGTTGCTCAGGCTAGATGAGTGCATGGTGTCAGCCTAGCTCACAGCAACCTCAAACTCCTGGGTCAAGCAATCTTCTGCCTCAGCCTCCGAAGTAGCTGGGACTACAGGCATGTGCCACCATGCCCGGCTAATTTTTTTTTTTGTAAATATATATATTTTTTAGTTGGTCAATTAGTTTTTCTATTTTTAGTAGAGATGGGGTATCGCTCAGGCTGGTTTCGAATTCCAGACCTTGAGCAAGCCACCCACCTCAGCCTCCCAGAGTGTTAGGATTACAGGTGTGAGCCACCACGCCCGGCCCAGAATTACTATTAACAACACAGAGGCAGGGACCATATATGACTGAAATATCTGAAAGGAATTACTGATCAACACATCAACATCTACTATGCCTCCCCAGACACTGCTCTAATATACATGTTCAATGTTATGTTCTCTCTCAGCTTCTTCTTTGCTTCCTTCATAGCACAATTTGTAATTGTTTCATTTATGTTTGTTTACATGTTAACTGTCCCATTCACTAGAACATGAGCTCCCTGAAGACAGGGACTAGGCCACTCTTGTTCATCTCTCTATCCCTAGTGCCTGGCATTACAGTATAATAAAATGGTATGAAGTGAGTCACTAATCATCAGGAAAATGCAAATTAAAACCAAAACAATCTACTCTAATAGAGATTAGGTTAAAAAAGAAATAAAAAAATTAAGGGGCTGGTGCAATGGTAGTGGGTTATCAGAACTTACTAACATCAGTGTCACTAAAGTTGGTAGTCAACCCCCCATGCTAAATTTGACTGGCTTACAATATATATATATAAATTTTTTTTAAATTAAGGAATTTAATATAATAATAAAAAAATAAAGAAATAAAACCAAAATGAGATATCACCTTACCCCATTTAGAATGGCTTTTACTAAAAAGCCCCAAAACCACAGATGCTGATGTGGATGCAGAGAGAAAGGAATGCTTATACGCTGCTGGTGGGACTGCAAATTAGTACAACCTCTATGGAAAACAGTATAGAGATTCCTCAAAGAAATACCTACCATTCGATCTACTAATCCTACTATTGGATATTTTTTACCCAAAGGAAAAGAAGTCATTTTTAAAAGACACCTGCACTCGAATGTTTACTGCAGCACAATTCACAATTGCAAAGATGTGGAATTAACCCAAGTGCCCATCAATTCATGAGTAGAGTAATAAAATGTGTAATAAAATGGCCATGGAGTACTACTCAGCTGTAAAAAAAGATAAATTAATACCTTTTGCAACAATCTGGATAGAACTAGAGACGATTCTCCTAAGTCAAGTATCTCAAGAATAGAAAAACAAACAGCTGGGCGCAGTAGCTCATGCCTGTAATCCTAGCTCTCTGGGAGGCCGAGGTGGGCAGATTGCTCAAGGTCAGGAGTTCGAAACCAGCCTGAGCAAGAGCAAGACCCTGTCTCTACTATAAATAGAAAGAAATTAATTGGCCAACTAATATATATAGAAAATTAGCCGGGCATGGTGGCGCATGCCTGTAGTCCCAGCTACTCGGGAGGCTGAGGCAGGAGGATCGCTTGAGCCCAGGAGTTTGAGGTTGCTGTGAGCTAGGCTGACACCACGGCACTCACTCTAGCCTGGGCAACAAGTGAGACTCTGTCTCAAAAAAAAAAAAAAAAAAAGAATGATATATATAATATTGAAAATTGGAACCTATAATGATAAATATTTTAAATTTTTTTTAATATTTTAAAAATTCAACTTTTGGGCCAGGAGCAGTGGCTCACACCAGTAATCCCAGTGTTAGGTATGGAAGCAAGAGGGAGACACAGGAAGCAAATGCTTCATATGTAGCAAAATGCTATTTATTTTGAGCATCTGGGTGCAGATGGGTGGAGGCCAAAAAAAGTGTCCTTGAGAAAAGGGGAGAGAGCCTTGGGTTTTATAGAGGGTTTTTCTGGAGGGAGTAAATAAATTCTTTTCAAAGAACCGGGAGGGATAAGGAAAGTTCCTCTCTTGCATTCCATTCCTTTATCTCCCTAGGGAACAACTGGGAGGAACAACCCGGACTATAAGAATAGTCCTTATCAGGAGGGATAAGGAAAGTAAGTTCCCCTTTTGGGTTTCATTCCCTTATCTCCCTAGGGGCCTGGCAAAGGCTAAGTGCCTAATACACCCCTAGGAAGGGGAGAGTGATGTTTTACAGGAAGTTTGGATGAAAGCTTGGGGAGGGTGAGTTTTTTAAGCCTAACATTCCACTCTTTTTATCATATACACGTAAGAAAAGGAATGACAAGGTATGAAAAAGGAAAAATTAAAAATTAGAAAGATTGGGAAGCAGGCATTGTTGTCTTTCCCAGCAGGTTTCCTGCTAGTTTGTGAGAGAAGCAGCAAAGAGAGTAGGGAGAGCTCAAGATTGATCTTTTGAGTTATTAGAAAATTAGGAGATTCAGGAAAAAGAAAAGAATAAAATTAAAAAAAAAAAAAGCAAGCTCAGATCAGAACAATGAGTATAATATGCTATCATCTGGATAAAAAAGGGAAGAAGTGGAGAGGAAGTATATATGTCATTCCAAACGCCTAGAACAATTCTAGAAAAATACCCAGGAAACTGCATGGCTAGAAGACAGAGGTGAGAGGCAGACTTTCCACCACTATTTTTTGGCAGCTTTTAAATTTTGAACCATGTGAATATATTACTTTTTCTAAATAAAAAAAAAAAAACAATGTTGAGGGGGGAAAAAAGCAGTAGATCAGAATAAAAGTGTAAGAATCAGCACAATCTCTCAGGGTCTATCAACTCAATATGGGTTCATTGGTTTTATCAAAATAGATATATCTACAATAAAAGCCAATAAAGGCAACATTTTGGTTTGATAAAGACACAATGCCTGTTGGGCTTTTTGAAACAATAGCTCACAAAAACTCTCTTTATATCCTCTGAGAACCCTTAGAAGAAGCTATCTTTCATACTTCCAAAAGCTATTACACCTGTTCCTAAGGTATACACCCAGAAAACACACCCTACAGACACAAAAACTGTACTGGTACAGACATCAACCAAAAAGGGTCCTTCCTCGACAGACAACAGTCTCTTCCCAAGGGTTGGGAAAGAGACAGAACTAAAGCTTGAAAACATTCCCAGGCCAGTAGGACCATAGAAGACAGACAGGTATCCCTGAGAGACTATCAAGAGCACAGACTGCTAAGTCTTCTAGGAACAAACACCAAGAGATATAAAGGCCCATACAATCTTCCCCTGAACTAAGGCAAGACACTGGGAATAAATGACTCAAAGAACTTTGCCACGCACATCATAGTGGGGCAGACAAGATAGCTGGACCTATCTAGATAGATAAATTCAATTTGACAAACTGCTTGTTCCTCAACCAAATTAATATCTACATGCCTTGTAAGGAATTTTGAAAATGGGCCAAGGGAATAATGGCCTGCTATATAGTAACAGCTAGAGTCTACAAATAGGCAAGTGTTTTTGGCTATTGCTAAATGACACCTCCATTCTGCAGGGAACTCTGAATGTATAGCTTCCTCTGAGAGCAATTATAGTCCCAAATGACTCTGAGGAACATCTGTCAAAAGTCTTGCAGGGCAGTACAGAGAAGAGAGGTGATCTAGGAGGGCTGTTACCTTTGGGACCATAGATTTTGTGACCACTGATGCTCATGAGATCAATTTTCATGTCATTGACATCAAGTGGGATTTTTCCAACAGCCTGGGCCGCATCAGTATGGAAATATACCTTTCTGGAACTGCAAATCTGCCCTAAAGAAACAGAGGGAATTTTGAGATGAGTCTTTATCCTAAAAAAAAAAAAAAAAAAAGAAACAGAGGGAAAGACCCACAGCTGAGAAGTCATCTGGCAATGATCCCACAATGTACCACAAACAATCTCTACTTACAGTAAATGACTTCTGTCAATGTTACAGTAAATTCCCTCCCTTCTCCCACCTCTTCCCTCCTCCATCTCCCCTCTCCCTCCCTCTACTCCCATTCCCAACTTTTCTCTTTTTCTCTCTCTTCCTTTCACTGGAATAGAAAAGATGAAGGGCAAAGCACCAAATCAAAACACCTAACACATAACACATAAAATTCTAACACATAAAATTCTTGTACACCTAATTAACACAGCCTTTCAATATGTCAGATTACCTTGTAGATACTTTTTGATTCTTTTTTTTTTTTTTTTGAGCCAGAGTCTCGCTTTGCTGCCTAGGCTAGAGTGAGTGCCATGGCATCAGCCTAGCTCACAGCAACCTCAATCTCCTAGGCTCAAGCAATCCTGCTGTCTCAGCCTCCCAAGTAGCTGGGACTACAGGCATGCGTCACCATGCCCGGCTAATTTTTTCTATATATATTAGTTGGCCAATGAATTTCCTTCTATTTATAGTAGAGACGGGGTCTCGCTGTTGCTCAGGCTGGTTTCGAACTCCTGACCTCAAGCGATCCACCCGCCTCAGCCTCCCAGAGAGCTAGGATTACAGGCATGAGCCACCACGCCCGGCCGATACTTTTTGATTTTAAAAAAGAAAAGATTAACAGATCTTTTTCCTAATGTCCCTAAAGAGATTACAGGGTGAGCTCTTAACTGAGGATCATAAAGAGATGTTCTAAAGGGAAAAAAAAAAATGAAAGGAGAAAAGGGTAGAAGAGTATTTTTGTTTTTATTGTTATGTTGTTGTTTTGGGCAGAAACAGCAATAAAATGAAAAACTATGAAGGATACTAGATCTGGATTCAAATACTAGCTATGCCACTTTCAGTATCCTTGAGCAAGGTACTTAGGCTTTCTCTCCCCTGATTTCCTTACTGTGCTACATAGAGTGTTACAGCTCCTACTCTACCCCTGCTCCCTCAGATAGACCCAGTGATGGACCAGAATCAGGGTTAACACACAATACTCACCTATTTCTGCAATAGGCTGCTTCACTCCAATCTCATTGTTCACAGTCATGACTGAGACCAGGCTAGTGTCTGGCTGGATAGCAGCCTCTAGTTCCTAAGAAAATGCAGGAGTAAGGAGACTATAGAGTACCAACAAACTCTCCCTAAATTCAGAATGTAGGCAAGCTTAGTCTTGTAAAGAGGCCGTTTACTACACACCTATCAGAATGGTTAAAATAAAAAAAAATAACAACACGAAATGTTGGTAAAGAAGCAGAGAATTCTGATCATTTATGCATTATTGGTGGTAATATAAAATGGCATAGCGACTTTGAAAAACAGTTTGGTAGTTTTTTTTCTTATAAAATGAAACATAAAATTATCGTACAACCCAGTAACTGCATTGTTATTTATTTATTTAGAGACAGAGTCTCACTCTGTTGCCCAGGCAAGAGTGCCCTTGTGTCAGCCTAGCTCACAGCAATTTCCAACTCCTAGGCTCAAGCAATCCTCCTGTCTCCTGCAGTGGCTCACGCCTGTAATCCTAGCTCTCTGGGAGGCTTAGGCAGGCAGATGGCTTAAGGTCAGGAGTTCAAAACCAGCCTGAGAAAGAACGAGACCCGTCTCTATTAAAAAAAATAGAAAGAAATTAATTGGCCAACTAAAAATATATAGAAAAAATTAGCCGGGCATGGTGGCCCATGCTTGTAAGTCCCAGCTACTCAGGAGGCTGAGGCAGGAGGATTGCTTGAGCCCAGGAGTTTGAGGTTGCTGTGAGCTAGGCTGATGCCATGGCACTCTAGCTAAGGCAGCAGAGTGAGACTCTGTCTCAAAAAAATAAATAAATAGATAAAATAAAAAAATTAGGCGGAGCCGGGCGCGGTGGCTCACCCCTGTAATCCTAGCACTCTGGGAGGCCCAGGCGGGCAGATTGCTTAGGTCAGGAGTTTGAAACCAGCCTGAGCAAGAGCCAGACCCCGTCTCTAATATAAATAGAAAGAAATTAATTGGCTAACTAATATATATAGAAAAAATTAGCCGGGCATGGTGGCGCATGCCTGTAGTCCCAGCTACTTGGGAGGCTGAGGCAGGAGGATTGCTTGAGCCCAGGAGTTTGAGGTTGCTGTGAGCTAGGCTGATGCCACGGCACTCACTCTAGCCTGGGCAACAAAGCAAGACTCTGTCTCAAAAAAAAAAAATTACCTGGGTATGGTGGCACGCGCAAGTAGTGCCAGCTACTCGGAAGGCTGAGGCAGGAGAATCTCTTGAGCCTAGGAGTTTGAGGTTGTAGTCAGCTGTGATGATGCTACTAGACTCTAGCTCGGGCAGCAGAGCAAAATTCTATCCCCCTCCCCACCCCCCAAAAATGGAGAGGAGATTAGTGGTTTCAAAAAAACCATGAAGGATTATAGTGGTGATGAAACTATTTCTGCCTTGACTATGGTGGTGCTTACACAAACTTAATGTAATAAAATTGTATAGAACTATACACAAACACACATAAGTAAATAAAAGTAAAACAGGGGAAAGCAGAACAAGATTGGTAGATTGTATCAATGCCAATATACTGTACTATACTTTTGAAAGATGTTATTGGGGAAACTGGGCAAAGAGGACATGTAATCTCTCTGTATTATTTCTTACAACTATATGTGAATCAATAATCATCTAAAAATTAAAAGTTTAATAACAAAACAGAGGAGGAGACTTTTCTATCTACGGTTATGAAAAGCTACAAAGAACAGAATAAATAGCAAAGAACAGAATTACTATTTTTTTTTTTTTTTTGAGACAGAGTCTCGCTTTGTTGCCCAGGCTAGAGTGAGTGCCCTAGTGTCAGCCTAGCTCACAGCAACCTCAAACTCCTGGACTCAAGCGATCCCACTGCCTCAGCCTCCTGAGTTGCTGGAACTACAGGCATGCGCCACCATGCCCGGCTAATTTTTTCTATATATATTAGTTGGCCAATTAATTTCTTTTTATTAAGTATGAGACGGGTCTCGCTCCTTGTCAGGCTGGTTTCGGAACTCCTGACTCGAGTAATCCTTCCGCGCCTCGGCCCCAGAGTGCTAGGATTACAGGCCTGAGCCACCGTGCAGGCCCAGAATTACTATTTTTTTTTTTTTTAGACAGAGTCTCACTTTGTTGCTCAGGCATAGAGTGTATGTGCTATTGGTGTCAGCCTACTCACAGCAACCTTACTCCTGGGCTAGCAATCTTTTTTCATGCTCGTCAGTTAGTGTGGGTACAGGCATTGTGCCACCATGCCCGGCTAATTTTTTTTTTTTAAATGATATATATTTTTGGTTGCGTCAATTAGTTTCTTTTATTTTAGAGAATGGGGTATCGCTCAGGCTGGTCGAATTCCAGACCTTGAGCAAGCCCACCACACTCAGCCTCCCAGAGTGTTAGGATTACAGGTGTGAGCCACCACGCCCGGCCCAGAATTACTATTAACAACACAGAGGCAGGGACCATATATGACTGAAATATCTGAAAGGAATTACTGATCAACAACAATCATCTACTATGCCTCCCCAGACACTGCTCTAATATACATGTTCAATGTTATGTTTCTCTCTCAGCTTCTTCTTTGCTTCTTCATCAGCACAATTTGTAATTGTTTCATTTATGTTGTTTACATGTTAACTGTCCCATTCACTAGAACATGAGCTCCCTGAAGACAGGGACTAGCCACTCTTGTTCATCTCTCTATCCCTAGTGCTGGCATTACAGTATAATAAAATGGTATGAAGTGGGTCACTATCATCAGGAAAATGCAAATTAAAACCAAAACAATCTACTCTAATAGAGATAGGTTAAAAAGAAATAAAAAAATTAAGGGGCTGGTGCAATGGTAGTGGGTATCAGAACTTACTAACATCAGTGTCACTAAAGTTGGGTAGTCACCCCCCATGCTAATTGACTGGCTTAAAAATATATACTATAGCGTATACATATATATATATCATATATATATAATTTTTTTTAAATTAGATTTAATATAATAATAAAAAAATAAAGAAATAAACCAAAATGAGATATCACCTTACCCATTTAGAATGGCTTTTACTAAAAAGCCCAAACCACAGATGCTGATGTGGATGCAGAAGAAAGGAATGCTTATACGCTGCTGGTGGGACTGCAAATTAGTACAACCTCTATGGAAAACAGTATAGAGATTCCTCAAAGAAATACCTACCATTCGATCTACTAATCCTACTATTGGAATTTTTTACCCAAAGGAAAGAAGTCATTTTTAAAAGACACCTGCACTCGAATGTCTCTACTGCAGCAAATTCACAATTGCAAAAATGTGGAATTAACCCAAGGTGCCATCAATTCATGAGTAGAGTAATAAAATGTGTAATAAAATGGCCATGGAGTACTACTCAGCTGTAAAAAAAGATAAATTAATACCTTTTGCAACAATCTGGATAGAACTAGAGACGATTCTCCTAAGTCAAGTATCTCAAGAATAGAAAAACAAACAGCTGGGCGCAGTAGCTCATGCCTGTAATCCTAGCTCTCTGGGAGGCCGAGGTGGGCAGATTGCTCAAGGTCAGGAGTTCGAAACCAGCCTGAGCAAGAGCAAGACCCTGTCTTACTATAAATAGAAAGAAATTAATTGGCAACTAGATAATATACAAAAAATTAGCCGGCATGGTGGCGAATGCTGTAGTCCCAGCTACTTGAGAGGCTGAGGCAGGAGGATTGCTTGAGCCAGGAGTTTGAGGTTGCTGTGAGCTAGGCTGGACACCACAGCACTCCAGCTCATAGCCTGGGCAGACAAAGGCCGAAGACTCTGGTCTGTCAAAAAAAAAAAAAAAGAAAAGAAAAACAAACAGCACACGTACTCACTATCAAATTAGAACTAACCAATGACAAGTGCACAGAGGGAAGTAAAACTCAGTGTAAAGCAACTAGGGGGGAGGGAGGGAGAAAGAGTAGAGGGGAATAAACCAACCTAATAGGTGCTATGAACACTATTCAGGTGACAGGCACACCTATAGCCAGGACTCAAGCATCACAAAAATGATCCATGTAACTTAAAACATTTGTACTCCCTTAATATTTTGAAATTTAAAAAAACAGTATGGGGTGGGTATATACATATATAATGAGTGAGATGTGCACCATCTGGGGGATGGTCATGCTGGAGACTCAGACTTGTGGGGGGAGGGGGGAAATGGGCATTTATTGAAACCTTAAAATCTGTACCCCCATAATATGCTGAAATAAAAAAAAACAGTATGAAGTGAAATAAAGGCATCATGTTAAGTATTACAAGAAATAAAAATCTACAAAATATGCATTCCTAGCATTCAAGAAATAGCCTAGTGGAGAGATGAGAGATAGATACACACTTATGGCACAGCACTGAAGTAAAAAGCCATTAAGTGTTAAGAGACTTTAGAGAAGAAAGAGATTAGAAGGGATTGGAGCAGCCACAGAAATTTCTTGAGAGCTTGGACTTAAGTTTTTAAAAGAGGGAGAAGATTAAGATAAGTGCGAAGAAAAGGTGACTAGATGAATGAGGGAATATGTGAGGAAAAGTCCAAGGCAGGACTGGCAGGGCACATTAGAAAGACATGAAGGCAACTGGGCATGAAGGCACACACCTGTAATCCCAGGACTTACTCTGAGAAGCTGAGGTGAAAGGATTGCTTTTTCTTTCTTTTTTTTAATTAATTAATTAATTTTTTGAGACAAAGTCTTGCTACTCTACCCTGGGTAGAGTACAGTGGCATCATCATAGCTCACTGCAACCTCAAACTCCTGGGCTCAAGCGATCCTCCTGCCTCAGCCTCCCAAGTAACTGGGACTACAGATACATGCCCCCATGCCTGGCTAATTTTTCTATTTTTAGTAGAGACGGGTCTCGATCTTGATTGAACTCCTGAGCTCAAGCGATCCTCCCACCTTAGCCTACCAAAGTGCTAGGGTTACAGGCATGAGCACCACACCTGGCGTCAACTGACTTTGGATAATGGTGCCAAGACTGCAATAGGGAAAACTCAATATTTTCAACAAATGATGCTGGGACAACTGGATAGCCACATGCAAAAGAATGAAGTTGACCCTTACTTCATACCATATACAAAAATTAATTCAAAATGGGTCAAAGACCTAATTATGAGAGCTAAAAACTATAAAATTCTGAAAAGGAAGCATAGGGGTAAATCTTCATGACCTTGGATTTGGCAATGGATTCTTAGATAAGATACCAAAAGCACAAAAGGCAACAAAAAATAGGTAGCTTTCCTTTTTGAAGTGATAACAATGTTCTGGAATGTGATAGTGGTGATTATTGTACAACTTTGTAAAAATACTAAAAGCAAATGAATTATACACTTTTTTTTTTTGAGACAAGTTAATCTTCTATGTTTAGTAGAGACGGGGTATCACTCTTGCTTAGGCTGGTCTTAAACTTCTGAGCTCAAGCAATCCTCCTACATTGGCCTCCCAGAGTGCTAGGATTACAGGTATGAGCCACTGTGCCTGGAGGAATTGTAGAGTTTACAAGGTGAATTTTATGGTATGTAAATTATATCTCAATTTTTTAAATGCTTAAAAAAGCAACATATAAAGAAATTTGAATGTCAAGCAAAATGAAGTTATACTTCATTCCAAAGTAAATGGGAAATCTCTAAGGGTTTTTGAGCAAAATGAAAAAAGGTCAAATGAATGCTTCAGAAAATAAAATCTAGTGAGAATCTGCAGGACATGCTAGAATGTGGTAGCTAAAGGACTAGGTCAGGCATCAGAGCTTAAGTCCAGAGGTAGCTAAGATGCAGCGTACAATCCAGCCAAAGAAATGAGAGGAAAGTACAATTTCAGAAATATTACAAGGAAATAGCCATAGATAAGAATGTGACTGACTGATGATTGAAAATGAAGAAGAAGAAAGAGGAAAAAAACAATGAATGATGAGAACAAACAGTCTGGAGTTTGGGTCCTGGGCTCTGTCTACAAACATGCTAGGATTTATCTAGGGATGCCAGTACCCAAAATCTAGTGGACCAAATGGTTGAACTCAATACCTAAAATGGACATATAAGGAAATGAGCTAAAAAGGGAAATATTCAAGAAAATTGACCAAGCATAGTGGCTAACGCCTATAATCCTAGCAGTCTGGGAGGCCCAGGCAGGAAGATCACTTAAGGTCAAGAGATTGAGTTTGCAGTGAGCTATGATGACACCACTGCACTCTACTCTGGTAACAGAGTGAGAACCTATACCAAAAAAAATAAAAGGAAAGAAAAGAAAACGATACCTCCTCTGTAGGGGGATGAGAAGCATTAGTGCAGGGAAGGAGGAAGCTAGAGCTTTGCCATGGTGAGCGTGTCCTTGGAATTCTGTACACGTGACCAGTTGTTCTCATACAAACCAGGAAGTCCCAATAAAGATCAGAAGCAAGTCCTCCAGAGAAAAGGAGGACAATACACACTTAAGGGGAATATAATCTTTTTCTCTGCCATGCCTATTTCTCTAATCCCCACCCTAACCATTGGATCTAGTCCTTCAAGCTCCGGCTGAGGCTGAAGAAACAGATTTACAGGCTGAAGCCAGGCTCCTCCCTTTTCATTCCTCCTGCCAAGAGCCACTCATACCTTGAGGTCGATTATCCCACTCTTCTGTACTGGGAGGTAGGTGACCTGAAAGCCCTCAGCTTCCAGCGAACGGCAGGAGTCCAAGACACATTTGTGTTCTGTCTGGGTGGTGATGACATGCCTTTTCCGTGACCTATAGAACCTGGCCACCCCCTAGAAATTGGTGGTGGTGGAAAGAAAGAGAACATACTAAGAGAGACAGCAATAACTTTCATCCCATTTGTAAAGGCAAAAGTGGGCAAGGCCAGTATGCTCCAACATCAATTCTCTGATGCCAATGGAGTATCCTATAATTCAATTCAATTCTGACACTAACTACCCAGAGTTAGTGAAAAACCCATGAGTTAAGGGCTCAGTCACACAAGACTGCCCCTATTTCAGATGCTAGATACAAATCTTCTATCCAGCCAGCTATAAATTCAGGGATTCCTATAACCATCTCATGCCAGTAATCATAGCACTCTGTGAGGCCAAGGAGAGAGGATTGCTTGAGGTCAGGAGTATTTTTTTTTTTTAAACAAAGTCTGGCTCTGTTGCCCGGGCTAGAGTGCTATGGCATCAGCCTAGCTCATAGCAACCTCAAACTTCTGAGTCCAAGCAATCCTTCTGCCTCAGCCTTCCAAGTAGCTGAGACTACAGGCATGTGCTACCATGCTCAGCTAATATTTTCTATATATTTTTAGTTGTCCGGCTAATTTCTTTCTATTTTTTAATAGAGATGGGGTCTCGCTCTTGCTCAGGCTGGTCTCAAACTCCTGAGCTCAAGCAATCCTCCCGCCTCAGCCTCCCAGAGTGCTAGGATTACAGGCGTGAGCCACCACACCCGGCCAAGGTCAGAAGTTTGAGACCATGCTGAACAAGAGTGAGACCCTGTCTCTACTAAAAATAGAAAAAATTAGCCAGTATGGTATCCCACATCTGTAGTCCCAGATACTCAGGAGGCTGAGGCAGGAGGATGGCTTGAACCCAAGAGTTTGTGTGAACTGTGATGATGCCACTGCACTCTACCCAGGGAGACAGAGCAAGACTCTGTCTCAAAAAAAAAAAAAAAAAGAGGCCGGGGCATGGTGGCTCACGCCTGTAATCCTAGCACTCTGGGAGGCAGAGGCAGGCGGATTGCTCGAGGTCAGGAGTTCAAAACCAGCCTGAGCAAGACCGAGACCCCATCTCTACTATAAATAGAAAGAAATTAATGGGACAACTAATATATATAGAAAAAATTAGCCAGGCATGGTGGCGCATGCCTGTAGTCCCAGCTACTTGGGAGGCTGAAGCAGTAGGATCGCTTGAGCCCAGGAGACTGAGGTTGCTGAGAGCTAGGCTGATGCCCCGGCACTCACTCTAGCCTGGGCAACAAAGTGAGACTCTGTCTCTGTCTCAAAAAAAAAAAATAATAATACAGATAGGTTAAAAAATTCCAGGAATTTCAACTATTACAAGAAAATAAAGAAGAACCATTCATTTCATTCAAGAAAAAAAGCAAATTCGGTTGGGCGTGGTGGCTCAGGCCTATAATGCCTTCCTGCTAACAGGATTGGACAGAGTACTGAGAACTCTGGAGCCCATTCCAGGCCTCCTACATTCAGGCCAAGGTCAAAGAATCTAACACTGGCAGCACAATTCAGAGACAAAGGTGAGACAGGGTCAAGCCAGAGTTGAACCTACAGCAGGTCATAATTTCTCAGACCCTTGGCATTTACTCAGCCTTGGCATTTACTCAGTCCTGGCAACCAGGCCCAGTCAAATGTGATCATGTTCTATGAAACACCAATATGATTACTACACTGACCTTAGCCAAAAGGCTGAGAAGTAATTAACATGCCTAAGAGTGGAATTTTACTTGCATAGTACCAAGGATATCTATGTCCTAAGAATACAATGACTGATCCCAGAATGGGTGACCAAGTAAATGCCTAGGTCACAGAGGGCACCACAGTGACAAGAGCTTCAAAATGGAGACATCTAAATGGGAGGAACTTGTTGCAAACAGATATGACCAGAAAGAAAAGAGAAGGCTGAGAGGAGGGCAGCACTGAAATCAGGTGTGTAAGGGTGAAACTCATTACTAAATCAAAAGAATAGTGACAAGGGTTTAGTCATCATTATCCACTCTCCGAAGTAGCTGCCATCCAAACAACCAAGTGGCTAATGAACTGAGAGCCATCTCCTCTCCTATCCAAATACCTCATTGAACTCACACCAGCAGGAGCAAAGACTTAAGATAGGGTAGATTGCAAAGGGTTAAAGGAAGCAACAAATCAGAAAGAGTGTGTGTCTTGTCTTCACAACAGGGTGGGGGTGTGTAGCTGGGAAATACATATCTGAGTCCAAATGATGAAGGGACACTATCTCCCAAGTGAGGAAAGCTCAGATATGCCCTAAGTCCTCTGGTTCCCTTCACTTACCTTAATTGCTATGTTGTTGGATTCAGTAGCGCCACTAGTGAAAATGATCTCACGAGGATCAGCCCCAATCAGAGATGCTACTTGCTGCAAGCCAAGAAACAGAGATACATAACATTAATTCCTGAAGGCAGGAATGGGGCTGCATACACAGTTGGGACAGGTCTGGAGCAAGAAGAGCTCAAATGCATTCTACCAAACTGCCCAGGAAGAAGCTCTGTACCTACTAAGATCAGAAAATGGACAGATCCAGTATTATCTCAGATTCCAGGCTCTTTTCCAATCCAATACAAAATAATAATAATTATATTATTGGGTTTTTTTAAATCAACTTATTGAGCTCTTACTATGTATCCGCATTGTGTTACAAAATACCTTACAAGCATTTAATCCCCCAATAACCCTACGGAGTAGAGACTATTACAATCTCCATTTTCTTTTCTTTTTTTTTTTTTTTTTTGAGGCAGAGTCTCACTCTGTTGCCTGGGCTAGAGTGCCGTGGCATCAGCCTAGCTCACAGCAACCTCAAACTGGGCTAAAGCAATCCTTCTGCCTCAGCCTCCCGAGTAGCTGGGACTACAGGCATGGACCACCATGCCTGGTTAATTTTTCCTATATATTTTTAGTTGGCCAATTAATTTCTTTCTATTTATAGTAGAGATGGGGTCTCGCTCTTGCTCAGGCTGAACTCCTGAGCTCAAACAATCCTCTCGCCTCTGCCTCCCAGAGTGCTAGGATTACAGGCACAAGCCACCACGGCCGGCCTCAATCTCCATTTTCAATGTGAGGAAATTAGGCTTAGAGAAATTAGATAATTTGCCCATGATAATTTAGCTAGGAAACGTGGGAACTAATTAAATGCCTACAGTCAAACTCCAAGGTTGCTCTCCAAATCTCTTCCGGAAAGAACCCAAAACCATTTTCACCTCCACCCACACCTACCAAGGAAATGCCCCCCAAGGGCGACTGACCCTCTCTAACTTCAGAACTTCCCAGACCCCTTTATACTAACCTGGCGAGCATGTTCCATGGCTGCCTCACTCTCCCATCCATAAGCATGTGTCCGGGAATGTGGGTTCCCGTAGTAGTTGACTAGGTAAGGGAGCATGGCATCAAGCACCCGGGGGTCCTGAGAACAACAGAACAGGCCACTTTCCTTGAGTCCATAGTTAACTCAGGCCCTACTCCATCCCCTCAGACCTGCCTAACCTGCTTCATTATACTCCCAACCTTTCAGACACTGCCTAGCTTAGGCCTCAAACATTCTTCTGTCCCCTCAGGTACTAACCAGTTATCAATCTAATATACCCCCACTACCAACCTGTCTTAACTCGGGTTGTTTTACCATCCCCTCAGATTGTCTACAAACATTGCCTTGTTCTGACATCTGTTTCTGCAGGTGTTCCCATTCCTGTGAGGCAATGTGTTCTAGAGTGGCTAGGACAAGACTGGGCATAGGTAAACACTTTTCACACTTTGGTGAGAACTTGTCTTAATATTAGAATGCTTATCATGTGCCAGGCCGCTTTACATCTTTTGACCTATTTAATACTAGCCCAAGTTCACACAGTTATTAAGTGGCAGTCTGGCTAATTCCAGATGCTATGTTTTAACTAGTACTGTAGTGACTAAAAAAAAATAGAAAAAATATTAGCCAGGCATGGTGGTGCACGCCCAGAGTCCCAGCTACTCCGGAGACTGAGGCAGGAAGATCATGTAAGCCCCAGAGTCTGAGGTTGCTGTGAGCTAGGCTGACGCCACAGCACTCCAGCCCGGGTGACAGAGCAAGACTCTGTCTCAAAAAAAAAAAAAAAAAAAAAAAAAAAGGCCATACTCCAGGATCCAGAAGGCCACATGTGGCCTCAAGGCTGCAGGTTCTCCACCATACCAGCTGTTTCTAGTGGAACAGAATTTAACCCTCCCGACTGCTGTCTCGTTGCTTTTCTCAGCACCTCTCAATGGCTCTCACTTGTACAGGGTTCCAGTTATTTCTATGTGTTGTCACTTCTATCATTTACTTCCTATAAACAGTCTTGGGAAAAGCTGCCCCTGTATCCTTACCAGAGGAGTTGTAGCTTGCACATCCATATAGAGAGGTCGCAGCACTGACTCTGGAGCAGTGGCTGTATCTGAAGGAACAGCCGACTGGGGAGCATGGTCTGCAACTGACAAAAAATGGAACAGAGCAGCCAAGTAAGACAGAATGCAACTATGAATGCAAAGCAACCAAGGGAGCAGAAGGCAAAATCTGGACAGAGGTGAGATGACAAATTAAACGGATGCTGGGATCAAACCTTAATGAAAATGAAACAAGACATCAGAGAACCTGAGCACACTGTGAAAGGAGGGAAGGGATAGGGAGAGACAAGGTTCTTGGAGAGGGATGATGGGGCAATATTTAAATCGTCTCATTGGGAGTGAGGAGAGCTCTAAAGGGCTACTAAGCCCTTTAGAAGAAAGGTGGGGCCAGAATAGGTGCGATCTCTTTCAAACATTAGTGGCTGGAGAGTCTTGACCAACATCTCTAAATTGACCAGGAGACCTTTGAAGGACGAGCCTCCAAAGTTCTCCAGGCTGCGGGGCAGGATCTGAGCGGTGGCGCGGCGGAGTCAACCGTTCGAGGGTACTGGCCTGAGAAACTCTGAGGCAAAGGGTCAGAGGATCTGGGCAGCAGGGCGGGGCAGGGAGGCCCCGGAAAACTCAGTTGCGTCGCAGCGCCAAGGGGGAAAGGTCCGCGCCTCGGGAGACCGTGGCAGCGAGCGGGAGCGTACCGCGCAGGCGCAGCCCCCGAGTGGGCGCCGCAGACCTCGGCCCCGGAGCTGCAGTCGCCGCCAAGGCCGCCCGCCTCCAAGCGGCTCGTAGCAGCATGGTCCTAGTGGCAGAGCCCACCAGCCGAAGTGACTGCAGTCTTCAGCCCCCCAGGCTCCCGGAAGTACTGCCTCGCGCTCCGGAAGGGATTCCTCCGGCCGCGAGCGCCCTCCTCCCCGCTTTCTGTGTGAGACGTAGAGCTGAGCGACCTAGGCCGCGAGCGAGGTGAGGTGGGGGCGGTCCGAACCCCGCGGCGTCGCCCGGCGCGGGGTCTGGACGCAAAAAGGGTGGTGGAGTAGGGCTATGCGCTGGTTTTCCTTCTCTAACTTTCCCCGAACCCTTGAGTCCACTCCCCACTCGCCGTCTCCGTCCCCGCCGGACTCTGGACCTGGCGGCTGGGCCCACACTTCCCTATCCCTCGCACCCTGCAGATGCCGGTGGCCGTGGGTCCCTACGGACAATCTCAGCCAAGCTGCTTCGACCGCGTGAAGATGGGCTTTGTGATGGGTTGCGCCGTGGGCATGGCGGCCGGGGCGCTCTTCGGCACCTTTTCCTGTCTCAGGTGAGGAGCGCGGGCACTGATCTCTGGGTGGGACTACTGGTCCTTCACCACCGCACCTCACTCTCGGTCGGGAGCCTGAACAGAGCCTACTTAGTACTTCTTCCCTGGCTGTCCTCTAGCGAGCGAGACCGATTTCCTAACCACCTTCACTCCACAAGGGCAGGTGGGAAGAAGCGTCAATGCTTAAGAATCTGAGCTCTAGTGTAAAAATGCTTTCTGGCGTTTTTCTTACTTGTTTGGTGACTTTAGGCAAGTTGGATAGCGGGTCTCCTTAACTGTAGTATGAGGACAGTAACACCTAGTTCATAGAACTGTAACAATGATAAATCAGCACACTTAGTTTACAATCTGGCACATATTAAATGCTCAGTAGCTGGTTGTTACCACTGTTATTTTTATTTGCAGTTTGCTACAAGACAAACTTGTTAGGTGGTTTTACTCTCCTGGGAACAGGATCCAGAGAAAATACAAATACTTTATACTCTGAAGGGTCATTTTCACATTTAAAGCCTGTTATTTTCATTTTTCCAGACTGTACATTACTGTTTACTGAGCACTTTACATTAAGCACTGTGCTAAATACTGTACTTGCATCAAAAACATCCTGTAAACAATCTTTTGATGTTCATTTTACATTTGACACAGCCTGTAAATTGCAGAGCTGAGTCTTGATCCCAGGTCTGACTCCAAAATCATTAACACCAGAAAACCATCTATGATAGACAGCTGTCTCTACTGGAACATATATGCTCTGGAGGCAAAACCAGTCCTAAAAGTTGGTTTCCCTGCCAATGTACTTTACATTGTCTGTTGCCTTGCTCATACTTAAAGTTGATAATCAGAAGAGTGCCCTAGATAACCTGTTGGGTTCTCTTCTTTGTTATCATTCATCCTGATGGGAAAAGATAATCTCCAGTAAGTGGCAAATAAGATATAGGGAATGCCAGACTTAGGTACTTGACTCACTGTTAGCCGAAGACTAGAAAGGGGCAAGTAATAGTCTTCCCTGTATTTTTGTTCCCAAATGGCCCCATCTTGGTTTCCTCCTCAGGATCGGAATGCGGGGTCGGGAGCTGATGGGCGGCATTGGGAAAACCATGATGCAGAGTGGCGGAACATTTGGCACATTCATGGCCATCGGGATGGGCATCCGGTGCTAACTATGGCAGTGGTTGCCCACTACATCTACACCTTCCCATCAATCCCAGCCCATATACTGTAATAAAACAAAGTCTTTGAGTAGTCTTGAGTGTGTCTGATAGAGGAATTATTTCTTCTCACTCTCAGCCTATTCAACTTGGCCAATACTGAGATTTAAGTTTAGATTTCCTCAAGGTCAAACATTACAAAAAGAAGTTATAACTTATTTCCAAAACAATGTTGTTCATCCTGAGATTGTTCTTCACATACAGCTGCCTGCTTTATCATAAAGATTAGAACCGCCAGGCGTGGTGGTGGCTCATGCCTGTAATCCTAACACTCTGGGAGGCTGAAAGGCAGGTGGATTGTTCGAGGTCAGGAGTTCGAAACCAGCTCTGAGCAAGAGTGAGACCCGTCTCTACTGTAAATAGAAAGAAATAAATTGGGAAACTAATATATAGAAAAAATTAGCCAGGCATGGTGGCATATGCCTGTAGTCCCAGCTACTTGGGAGGCTGAGGCAGTAGGATTGCTTGAGCTCAGGAGTTTGAGGTTGCTGTGAGCTACGCTGAAGCCATGGCACTCACTCTAGCCTGGGCAACAAAATGAGACTGTCTCAAAAAAAAAAAACCTAGAACAATTTATCCACTGTGAAACAAGCTAAGAACATCAGCCCTGGTCCTAGCTTCTCAACTGGCTAATCCCAGGTGATTTTCTAACCAGCCCTCAATGATTCAAACAGTGTAACTGGCCCTCCACAAGATTCCATTAATTGGATTGATGTACAGTAGCTTTTGTAGTAATGAACTAGTGTCCCTCACCTGCCCACATAGGCATTAATGATTTTCTGACCTGCACTTACCCCTTCAGCATGTCTTAAGAACTTAAAATTTTGTTGTAAGAACTTAGCACATTTTGGGCCACTGAGATGCACAGGAAATTAATGACACTACATTAGTTGCAGCAACTACAAATTTTCCAAATAAAGTGAAAAGCTGTCTCAGGAGTATGAAGACCTAAAGGATATCACTCAGAATAGCCATTTGAACCACATTCTGTGTATCACATTACTCCATTTACTAAACACTGCATTTCCTTTGAACATCATTTATAAACCAAATTTAAAACTTTGTGGCAGTAGGCAAATTTTGGCCATCCTTGTTTTAACAGATGAGGTTAATCACTAGAGGCCACATTTGCTTGCCTAGTTCCCAGGAAAGGAATGATAAAGCTTGGTTCAAGTGGGGAAAAAGTTATTGCAAAGATAGCAGGGAATACTTTGCAAAGCAAAAAAAAAAAAAAACAAACACAAGAGAATGTTAAGTTCCTGCCACAAAAAAACAATGCTGCCTGGTGTTGAAAAACAAGTTAACTTGAACCTTAAATGTTTTTCTTCAGATTAAGTAACTAAAGAATAATAGGTTAAATACCTATCCAAAGGACAAAAATCATGATGTTGACTCAAACGGAATGATATACCTAAATGACCTATGAACTTATGCCCCTCGGCTAACAAAATTGAGGAAATCAGTATTTGAAAGTAAAATATAACTACATTAGGAGCAACATTGCCTATTTAAAAGAACTGATCAAGATACAAAAAAGCTAAAGATAAAGGGTGTTAAGTGAAGGCCCACTGCTCAATATAGAAGATCAAAATCCCTTTATATATATATATAGCTAAATCAATTTGAGAAACCAGTTAAATGCCTTAAGTAGTGAAACTTTTTTCCACAAAGATGCCCAGATTAAAAGCGTGAGCAAATGCGTTTGGTTTGGTTTTCTTTTGGTAAACCCCTCTGTCTTGTACACCCTTAAGAGGTACTCTGCTAGGCTATGATGATAGGAAGGAATTAATGGGGGGATAGCTTGAGGGCAAGAGTTTCCCCAGACTCAGCACACTAATATTTTCCTTAAGAAGAAAGTACTGAAATACTACTAATAGTCAAAGAAGCTAACAGTCTATTCTCAAATTTCTATGACTTTAAAACATTTGAAAAATGAAGATTTCTTGTGGCCTTTTTAAGAGAATTTTATTTGAGTGGTTCTTACAAAGATTGTTGCAATATGAAAGTCATTTGTTTGATAGAAATATCAAGCTGTCTTGTCAAACACACTGAAGTAACCCAAAAATATATTTCAGAGCTCACAGAGCTTAAAAAGAGCAAAAGATTATATATGCAACCAGACAAAACCTATTTCTGCATTTCCTAGTTCTTGCTCAGACTGCTTTGCTTACAAGACTGTGACTAAACATCTTCAGGAAATGCAGGGATCATTTTGTTTGGAATCTTAAGACACACCAGAATGCGTAGTATTTACAAAAGAAACTTTTACAGATACATTAATTGAAAAGATACCATCAAGAAGTATTTTTAATTTTGAAATCTCCCTTTCTTGCCAATTGATCAGAATGCAAGATGAGATGCTAAACAAACAGCCCTTTAGCTGTCCTGAATTACCATACACTAAATGTGTATTGCAGAAACCTCTGCTAAACCATCCGCCAAATATCAACATTAGTGAAATGTAACTGCTGTGTAAAAAGTTAGGCTTTTGAAACATTTAAAAACATCATTACATCCCTGGTCTGCCTTTTTACAGAAAGCACATTTGTTCCCCTAGAGCTATTCCTATAGGTCCTTAATGTAATTTTCTACATGAACATTTTAAAAGGCAGAACAAGAGAACAGCTTTGTATACAGTGGGATTTGCTAGTTAGGGAGAATGAGCACACTGCATTCCTGTTAACATTTTTATTTTTTCAAGGTAACAGGAATTGTATACAAATGACAGTAGACCCCTGCCTCTTTATTTTTATCTAAATAAAAGATAACTCAAGATGAATTCTCAAGAAAGAAAAAAAAAGCTATGTACATAAGGGACTATATCTTCCTTCATCGTCTACTTGGAACCAGTAGTTGTGTTGCTGTCATAGAATCAGGAAAGAGGTTGTGGTAAGTTGGAAGAGGTACATATGCTGCTGTTATCATTTTACCTGTTGAAAGAAACAAATATGTTGGGTTTAGCATCTTCACTTAGTTTTAGAGCCTTAATAACAATAATTTAAAAAAAAAAATTCAAACTCACCAGCAAACCACCTGCCATGCAATGCATTGACGGCAGCAATAGCTGCAGCAATTGATGGGCACTTTACATACACATTGCCCTAAAACAAAATGAGTAAATAAAAGGAGAGAAAGGGTAAGGATGGTGCTGTATACAACATGGACTCATGTTTATTCAAATAGCCTGTAGAAAAACTTGGTGCTCTACAACCACAAAATATTTTACACACTGAATAAACTAAATATGTACACCTAGAATTTTAAGACAGAATGATTTATACTCCCTGACTTCCCTGTACTATCTTTTCTCTATGACTTATAAGCTGCCTAATAATCAAGATGCCAAGATTTCGAGGGAAACTTTAAATATTAACAGGAAGTGCTCTATAAGACCATAATCAAATTTTCAGTTATTTTATCTTTATTCGAGAGGGTATTTAGCCAAGATGTTAAAACTTCTTTCAGGATAAAGCCACTCCAGTAGATGACAGTGATTATAACATGCAGTAAGTATATGTAAGATAAAGTAACAACCATGGTTTATTAAAAAGATTCAAATACCTGAGCTGAATTTTTGTCAACATAAATATGAATAACTCCTCCATGTTTATTACATTCTTCAATCACATCATCCTTAATCTCTGTGTCCCATCCAACTTCTTCTTCACTGTAAGAAAAGTATTAAGCTCTTTTACATACTATTTATACTAATAAAATATACATTCTCAAATTTATCAAAAAACCAAAATGTTGGCTGGGCATGGTGACTCATGCCTGTAATGAAAACATTAGCTGGGCATGGTGGCGCATGCCTGTAGTCCCGACAGCTTATTTTGAGTAGTGGATCAATTCTATCCTATATCTGTACTTCCTTATATGACCTATAGAAACGTATAGGCTATAAAGTACTTGATGAATTGAATTCTCAGTAAGTCCTTTTAAATGCAAAAATTTGGCAAATTTCGAATTAGATGAAAAACAATGATTTCAAATTAGAAAAGATTCAATTCCTACCTGCCACAGCACCAAATGCCAAAGAACCACTCATCTGCAGAGCCTGCTGTGCTGCTGGTGGAATCTGTAAACCTGTACCTGTAAAAGATAGGTCTTGAATACTCCTTACACAGAGAAACCAAGTTTTTCGGGTGCTTATACTAATCAGTCATCTCACTAAAAGAAATTACAAGGACAACTGTAATGTTACAATAGCTGAACTAAATTTATTAAGAATGGAGATATAAACATATAATACCAAGGAAAACTGTAACTTATGCTTTGGTACTCAAAAACATAAATATAGATTCCATTAAAACCGAAACGCAAGTGCTTCATCTATAAAAGTACATATGTTGCCTAAGAATAGTGCCAACTCCAAAAAAAGATAAAATTTTTCAATTTTATCGGTTGCATGGATACTTTCTTTTTCAGCACTGCACTCCTAATATATCATTCACAATACTAGGAAAAACTTACCCTCTGCAAGTCTTGCATTAATGGAGACGACCAGTTGTTCCAAGTCAATTCCAGTCCTTTCCAGTTCATCACTATCCAAAAATGAACTAGCACTGGAAGCATCTGTACGTTCAGTAACATGACCAACTTCATTGGCCTTCCTGCTAGTTCAAATCCATTAAGTTGTTCAAAGCCTTTTTGGCACATTCCGAGTCTGAAACTAGTTAATAGGAAAGTAGGGGAGTACAGTATATTTGTTTACTTGTATACAAGAACAAAACAAAAAATACTGACAGGTTAAATCTAGTACTGGGTGAATGATAGAAATTTCAAGCTATAACTACAAACAAAACCTAGAAGAAACATTAGCTCATGCAAATTAGACTTGTTGGTGTGGTAGTTTAAATGAAAGAAAAGAGAGACTAGCAAGGTGATTTGTGCCTACAGTCCCAGCTACAGAGAAGACTAAGCAGACTGCTTCAGGCCAGGAGTTCAAGATCAGCTGAGCAACAAAGCTATCTATACGAAAAATAAAATTAGGCTGGGCAACATGGCCTGCACCTGCTAGCTATTTGGGAGGCTGAGCCATGAGGATGGCTTCAGCCTAGGAGTTTCAGGCTGCTGCAGTGGCAGTGATCATGCACTGTATTCCAGCATGGGTGACAGAGATACTGTCTCTTAAAAAAAAAAACTTTTAAAACTTCTAGATAGAGATAAAACCTCCAATCCACCACTACTCTGTTTTAATTTTTTTTTTTTTTTTTGAGACAGTCTTGCTCTATTCCCGTGCTACAGTACCATGGCATCAGCTTAGCTCACGCAACTCAAACTCGGGCTCAAGCAATCCTCCTGCTCAGCCTCCCAAGTAGCTGGGACTACAGGCATGTGACCACAACCCGGCTAATTTTTTCTAATATTTTTGGTTGGCCAATTAATTTCTTTCTATTTTTTTTAGTAGAGATGGGGTCTCACTCTTGCTCAGGCTGGTTTCAAACTCCTGACCTTGAGCAATGCACCCGCCTGGGCCTCCCAGAGTGCTAGGATTATAGGCATGAGCCACTGCACCCGCCTCTTGTTTTAATTTGATGGGAAAAAAACACATTCCTACCCACTCTATGTGTTAACCTGCACACTGTTTAAAAATAATTTTCTGGCCGGGCCGGTGGCTCACGCCTGTAATCCTAGCACTTTGGGAGGCCGAGGGGGCGGATTGCTCAAGGTCAGGAGTTCGAAACCAGCGCTGAGCAAGACCCCGTCTCTACCAAAAATAGAAATAAATTAATTGACCAACTAAAAAGTATATATACAAAAATTAGCCGGGCATGGTGGCCATGCCTGTAGTCGCAGCTACTCGGGAGCCTGAGGCAGTAGGATCGCTGAGCCCTGGAGATTGAGGGGCTGTGAGCCAGGCTGACGCCACGGCACCACTCTAGCCTGGGCAACAAAGTGAGACTCTGTCTCAAAAAAAAAAAAAAAAAAAAAAAAAAAACTTTC